TATCCCTCAGTGAGATAAGCGGCCAAACTCTCCGTGGAAAAAGAAAGACCAAAAGATTATCAGATTTTCTTATTTTGGAAATCAGAAACATCGAAAAGTTTGTAAAGATCTCCCCAACTATCTTATTCTTCCAGCAGAAGGATCATGGTAATCGGTCCTTATCGATATCTTTAGTAATTGCTTGTGCCCAATCTCCGTATTAATAAAAATTGATGATAATTTTAATGAGAAAGTCGTGATATTTGAATCGATGCATAAGATTTTTTTCTTTTATAAAAAATATAACATATATAAATATATATAATATATATTTTTAAAAGATATATATATATATACAATATAAGCTTTTATTGAAAAAAAGAAAATTGATAAACACATACCTATATATAAGAGATACGTATATATTACTTTTTATAAAAATACATACATATATTGTTGTTAATTTTCTTTTTTCCTGTAAGCGCATATCACTTGGATATATTTTTCGTGTGCAAAATAAATAAATAACTACAAATACATATAAACATACTCGACACGTCCGACTGAAAATACGTCCTCCTAAATTGCATCGGCGCTACGCATCTCGATTCTCGAATTTGGTCCGAATTTAGCGGCACGCGCCCAACGGCCATTTTCCGCCGTGAGTGTGCGGCGCACGCTGCATCCTGGTTATTTTAAGCAATTGTTAAGTGCTCTCACGGCTCTACACCGAAAGCACATTTACACGCTCGTGTCTCATCGGGCCGTGATTCAGCGCGCTCTTATCTCGCCGCTTTTGTTCGCCCCTAATAAATGTAAGCCCACCCGGTCGAGTCCCGGTGTTTTATCCCTCCCCCTCCTAGGCCGTAATTATCCAGATTTCCGTAATATTTACAACACAGGTGCTTAAAATCTCGTGTTAAATTAGAGGCTATCTCGTACACTGTTCTATTTTCTTCTTTTTACGCTATTCGAGAGAGCGCTTTAATTATGCGCCGCGCGTAATTCCATCGACTCTCTTTAATTTCCTATCGCGCTTTCGATGATTAAATAAGTAAGGAGCTCTCACTCCAAACGAGTCTTTATTTCGTCCGAAAGTTTGCATTATTTAACGAACGATGCGCCGTCGCAATCACATCAGATTTTAATTACGGGTTCTCTCCAACAAATCTGGAGTATATTAAATAATTTAATTTTATTGATAGTTGAAAGGATTAAACTTTAATTACTATTACCGTTATAATAATAATAAATTATATTAAATGTGAGTTTATTTTATGCTACTTATCGCAAAGTAATGGAGATAGATTTACAGCAAATATAAAGAAAGCACGAGTATAATTTATGATAGTCACGACGAGATTATCGCGAATAATTGCATTATTTCATATATAGTACACATATATTATTAAGTTTACATACATGTATGTATAAATATGAAAACATATGACTTACATATTTCGAATCGCAAGGTACTCTAAATTCCATGGAATTTCTTCGTCGGCGAGTACCACGTGTTCCAGATCGAACCACAGGGGAGCGAGAACATTTCGCGAATCTGAGTCCGTAAACTTCTTCAAACTTTTTTAACTGAATTTAATATCAAAAGACGATTAAAATAAGAGCAATTCTTACGCACTGCGATTGTTGGAATCCCGCGTCCTGTAAACAATCTGTACCGAACGACGTCCGAAATTTCTCTGTCGCGCGTTGCGGGAAAAACTTCTCCATAAACGCGACGCGACACGTAACGCTTTTTATCAGGGGAGAGACACACGTGTCACGCGAGATTATTGGCCTTTGTGAGCGGGCTGACAAATGGTCCACCGCATATGGCGCGTCGCGCACGACTGAGGACAGATTTCGGTCCAGCAGCATCTCCCTCTCTGCCCTCGCGCCGCTCCACCCGGCCGACTCCCACGCCGTGTTGTCGATGCATCACGCAGAATCCGCGCGTGCTTCCGCTAACAAAGCTCTCGCAATGATATTTTTGCTCCTTGCAAAAATAAAAAAATAAAGCGCCGCAATATTCCAGATTCGGCAAACGTCATAAAGGCGAAATAAATGAGAAATAAAATTCGGAAAAATCTCTAAAAATTATTCGAGAAACAATGCTGAATCATTGTTATACTTCGTCATTGATTTTGAATATATATTATAAAATATTATATTATCATTATTGTTCTTTTCCTTCTAGTGCTTTTGTGAACGTAAACAACTTCAATTATAGAATATTATGCATCGCGCACTCAAAAAAGTGGTATTGCAACTACAGCAAAAATTTTCTGGGTGCGCAAAATTAACTGAGGTACATAAATGATTAGCAAATACTGTGATATCGCATATGTTTCGCATTTAATCAATCTAAGTGACAGAGACAGAATTTATATCTGAACTGTTTGTGAAATTTAGAAAGAATGTTTTTCTGTGGCGCCTATCCATGTTAAGGCCAATCATACTTGTTATAAAGTTTGACTGTGGTACACAGAAAAAATTAGCGACAAGAAACAAATGAATATATAATCCTCACATATAACATATTTGTATAATGCGCCCAATCTATCTAGCTCTTTTAAACAATTTCTCTCAATTTTTCGATGCTGCAGTTATAATTGGCAGTTATATTTCTCACAAAGATCGTTCTAGCTGTAGTATCGAAACTCATATTTATCCAATGCAGTGATTAACATTTGGCAATGGGACCTAAATTTTCTAGAAGATATTATTAGAATATTGCTGCTATAAATTCTATATGTAACAGACAATATTCTAACAGATACAAAAAATAGCGATAAATTTTTGTTGTGACACCTAGAAATCTACCTATATCAGCAAGACATTTTTTTGAGTGCGTGCGAATTGGCTCGCGAATGAAAATTAGATTATAAATTGGTAATTTTTCGATCGATTTCATCTCGAATTTCTCTAGCGACGACATACACGATAAGAAGAATATATGTATATAAGCGGAAGCCAAACTCGAATGAAACTTTCTAAGAGATTGCTCCCGTGGGACTCATGACGAGGGCTAATACACTTTAAGAATATCACAAACTGAAATCGTGAAATGGGCAATCTCGAATGGTGCCATTTAATTCGAGGAAAATCTTTGCATTTTCGCCGAAAAGGTTCACCTTTCCAGCGTGGTAAAAAAAATATCTGTCACGCAGTGCAAAAAGACCTACTCCATATAACTTAATTCTAAATATGCGATTTATTTTTAAGTATCCGATTGCTGTCTTCTTCGGAAATTAAAATAGATAAAAACGATAGGATTAAAGGACTCCGAGGATTTCTACACAGAGAAAATTTTACAGTACAAATTATATAAAAAATACATTCTCTTTTACATTTATTTTAAAACTAAAATATAACGACATTTTAAAATATTTCTTATTATAAAAATTGTAAATTATACATTCTTTTTATTGTTTGTTAACAATTATGCATTTGTTTGTGTATCAGAATGTTTGAACAATTACAATGCTCCTTTGTAAAATATACGTATATATAATATTATTGAATAAAAATATTGTGATTTCTTTTATATGTTAGCATGTTTTATGACTACAAAAAATTACATTGTAAATTTTACTATAATATTTTCTCCGTGAAAGGTCGATTTCAAAGATTAAGAATTAAGTAATTTTACAAAACGCATTGCTATAAATTCTTCTTAAACCCGGCTAATCCGGCAATTTCTCCGTTCGGTTATTTACTTTTTATTTCGGATATAATTACTATCGATTCTCTCTTCTTTTAGGTTCGGTTCGCACCCCATTCAAGTCGGACCTAAAATAAACTCGAATCGAACGAGGCGACGCACACCGCGAGCACACGGCGGTGATTCGATATCGCGGGAGGTGGCATTCTGCTGGAAAAAGAGAGCCCGGAGAGTGTGAAGGGACGACCGTCGAACTTTTTCACGAACTCGAAACTTGGGATTCTCGCTCCCGATTCCGCCCCGATCCCGCTTACACATCCCGCTCACGTACGCAAGGGTGGTTGTTTTGGCGATGAGGGTAGCCGGGATTCGCTCCCGCGTTACGCGCCGCTCTCGGCAAAATACGGGATCCAAATTATTGGGACGAAACCACCGCGATTTCCAAGTGCGACACGTATGAAGTCGATATATCGTCGCGAGCGATATATGCCACGAGCGTTCTTTCTGTCAACTGGAAGGGGGGAAGGCGGGGGTTGTCACACGAAGAGGAAGGGAGAAAAAAAGGAAAACAGGCTCGTTAGGGCGACACTAGAAAACGTCGGTATTGAACGGATGAGAAAACACACGGGTCTTAGTTTTATAGTATTTGTGATTGAGTAATCGAAAGGCGAATAATTTTTAAAAATTATTAACATTAGAAAGAGCAGAGTAACAATTAATTATCCAATCGATTTTTAGATCTGATTATGGTAGTCTAATTTAATTTAATGTTTTAAGGAATTTATTTTAAGAAGTATGTAAGAATTTTTCTCTTCTTCTTCCTTCTCTTCCCCTTTTCCTCTGAAAAAAAAAAAAAAAAAAAAAAAAATCGACTTTAATATTAAAAATTTCATAATAACAAGTCTTTAATATTTTAAGTACACACCTCTTTGCTTTCTCTTTCTAATTATTTGTCGCTACGTCTTCAATTCCTTGCTTGTTCTCTACGAGAATAAAATAACGACGATTCTCTCTCGAGTGCTTGAACGATGATCGTCATCATTGGCGGGATCCTGGTATATCGAGCGGACAACAAAAGTGGCTTGTACATACCCGTCGCTAGGTACAAAGAGCACGCGGGGGAACCGTGTGTGCTGTACCAAATGGCACTTTCATTGCACTTGCCCCATGGACTTTGCATCTTGCCGAGTTTCGTCACCCCCAATTTATAGCTTTTCTTCGTTTTTCTTATTTCTTTTGGAGGGTTGTTTTTTGCGCGAGCGGAGATATATATAACATTTATTATACATATATTATATATCGTATTTTTATAAAATTTTTAAAAAATATAAAGAATGTATGTGAATACTATGTATAAAAATTTCGTGGATCTAACCCAATACTCGAGGGAGGATTATTACAAAAGCTGATTTGAAAGCTGATTTCTATTTTATTTAGTTTTCTCGCCTCAACCACCCTCGATTCCGGCAATTCGCGATAAAGATACTTTATCAGGAAGGGATATATTTACCGATAGAATCATTATTTTTCAAAGCGATTCGCCGCAGCGAGTACGCGCGAGCAACGTGCGTGGGAAAAAGGGGATGGACCATTAAGCCCCGCGCAAGATACATCATTTTTCATACTTTAACGGTAACGTATACGGGTGCGTGGATAAACCAACATGAGATTCGCTCGAGCGCGAACGAGCAGCGATAGACGACAAAGCCGGCTAACAAGTGATAATTACGACGAAATCCCGTGTTTTGCAATTTAGTTGTAATTTTCGTCTGGCTCACAAGGCTCGTTAGAAACTGGACAAGCTACGTAATTGATTTTAATAAACATCTTCGCATTACAGAGGGAATTATAAAAAAGAACATATTATATATCGTAAATCCCATTTTTTTCAAAAAGAGTATCCTAAATTATCGTAATTCTTAAAATGTAAATTTCGTTAAACAGAATTATTCAAATGGAATAAAAGTTGTACCTTTCTTCCTACTTTTCCAGACAACTCCGCATCTCTAAATCTTCTCTTTAAACTTTAAAGCGTAAATCGGCGAATCTCAAAATCTCTCCATATTTCGTAGACAACCCTTGTTCTATTTTTATGTCTAGATTTCCGAATCTATCAATTCATGAATCACCAACTGCAATGAATCGACAATTTTCGAATCTATTATATATAGATCTCGTCCATACCTGACGATCGTCGCTCAGATCATCGCAAAACATTTGTCGTTAACTTATTACCGGATGGAAATAATGCGCGAAGTTGCTGGCAGTGTCGTTATTCCCAGACATCGCGGCTAGACGATGTTAGTTTCGTGTCTCATCCGTGCGGTTGACATTTAATTCAAAATCTTGCGTTACCCTTCCTACCGACTGTGACCCGGGCTTATTCACGCCTTTAGCCACAGCGCTCATAAATCTTGGAAAACTTGCTGGTGGCTACGAGCTAACCACCCACCAATTAGCATCCTGAATTCGAGGGTGCGTGCAAAAGTTTTCGATTTCCCTATTGTCGCAACAGCCACTTTGTTGCAGGATCCTGTCGAGAAACCCCTAATCTTAATGACAGATTCTTCGACGAAATTAAAATTGGATTTCTCTTTTAAAGAGAATCTTGCAGAATTATTTTGTCAAATAGTTTTAAAATTGTGAAATAATATATAATTCTTCTACCCAAATTTATACATTTTCTACCAATTCTAAGTTTCTGCTAAAAAAAAAAAAAAAAAAAAGAATTTGATATTAAACTCTTGAATGATTGATTCGAGCTTGGCTTATTTACATTCTAATATTTCAAATCTAAGTAATACATATTTAAAGCGAAGAAATTGTTTGATAAAGTTGCAATGTTTATAAATTTTGCATAGAATCGATAGTAGCAATACCGTCTCCAAATAATCCAAAAGGTGATAGCAATCGAAGCGCCCAACAACTCGTAACAAATGTCCAAAGGGTGAGTGGCAAATGGTCCGCTACAAAACAGTGAGAGCTCCCCATGGGCTCGTCCTCGACAACGGCCGTCTGCAAAAACATTAATCACAAGTCATTCGGTGTTTGTGTTGTCTATTTCATGCTTGTCTGACACACTTTGTCATCGATAGATTATCGACAAAAAATTTCGGATTTATAGCGATTCAAATTCAAATCGGATGTAGATAAAACCAACGCGGAGCACTAAAATGTTGTTTGAAAATTTGACATAAAACATGTGTTCAAAAATTAGAAAGATAAAATATATATCACACAAACAATGTAAACAATATATATAATCAGAATGTCTATTCAAATCTTGAAAAACTCCCTTGAATCTTGTAAAGGAAAACACGGATACATATCGTTGTACTGATTGGTAACTTGATCAATCGATGAATTGCCGACTGCTTATAACGTAAAAAAAAAAAAAAATAATGGAACAATTTTAAAAAAAATTCTTTAAGTTCCAATAAAATTTTCCATCAAGATTCTCTGACTTTTCAAGGTAAAAAAGTTTCATGAGAATTACAAGCTTCTCAGATTTTTCCAGTGAATAGACACTTTTTGATAACTGATTATACTCTTTGTTTTTTTAACACAAAAAAGATTTTATTAATGGAAAAGGGCGTGTTTATAATATATTATGTATTTTACATATATAATATATATGTACCTATATAAAATATACTAAAGTTTGCAAATTACAAAATATCATAATTTTTAAATAAATTTCAGATAAGGCGAGACACGCACATTTCCTTTCTTTATTTTTGAAAAAATTATTATTATGGATTTTTTCAGTTTACATTTATGGAATGATAAATGCTTTCTCGCAAGCGCTTTTTGGTTCGTATTGTAATATATAAGATGGAGCTAATATATTCCCTAGCAGGAAATGATGATAACTATTTCCAAGATACATAATGATTGTAACCATGTTTATCATGGGGACGTAATACTGATCCTATTTTTTGCAGTCATAATTAAAATAATTAAGTAAATATGACGTAAAATATTTATATTTTATACATATCAAATAGTCTGTGTATATATCCCTAGAAATTCAGTGATTTTCAAATAGGAACTCTATCTGCTCTGTTTATACTTTTTATGCTTAAAGTTTTCCACAAACATACTATAGATATATAAAACGAATAAAAAAAGAGTTATATACTATTTATTCATGTATCTAACTTTAAAGGGAAAAAGAAAATATATAGAAAAAAATACAAAAAATTAAAAAAGATTATTACAATGTGTGTGTATAATTTATATATATTAGATTTGTCCCCACACAATATATATAATTAAAAATATTAAAAATTTATTGATGTTTTCTTACAATTTTTACAATATTCACTGCGAATCACTACTCGCTGCTTTTTTGACACGAGTTCGTAACTCTAGGATTGTCTTTTTTAACCTTTTGACTTTTTGTCGTAAGCTTCTCAGCATTACCTTTTGCCGTGTAATTCTTTTAATTGCCACTTCCCAATAAATTTTAGCTTGCACCGGAGATGTAGAAATCTCTTCCCATCGAACATCATATAAATGTTTCTTATGTTTCTTCTCCGGCTCATTTGAAGAAGAAGAGTCTAACGAAGAAGCTGATATTCTAAAGAAAAGGCCTTCTATGTGACATATTCTCTTAAATACAATGGAAGAGCATCATTGTATTGCTTACCTTTCAGGCACTTGTGTTTTACCATCGCATTCGTGAGCGACAAATTCAGTATTCTCGCATGTATCCTCAGCGATCACCTTCATTCCAATGATACTCGACAATTGATTATTTTTTCTAGCATCTACTTGCAATATTGCAATATTTAACGATTTGTTGTCCATAGTTTCCACCACGTCTCCAGTGTCAGAAAACCGATCATCCTTGCTCTCCTCATTCAAATGAAGAGACGGTATCGCACCTCGCTTTAAAAAACGTTTGCCTCCGACTATGCTGTATCTGAAGTCGTCTTCCTTAAAATGACGTGAACATATTCGCGACGATTCGCAGATTTTCCTCTCCGTTTTGCCGATCGCAAGCAACCATTTCTTCAGTAATTCGTCATTTTTTGGTAACCTTGAGAGAATCGTTTGCGGATCGTTTTGCGCTGAATATCGGGATACAATAGTCAGAAGATCACGGGGATGCTAAAATACTCACCCGTAAAGCGATATGTCTGTCGTGACATGTGTTTGAATTACACGATATTTGCAACAGATGCATACACGTGTCATTGTATATATATATTGAAATAAATCAATTAATATAACCTCTCTTTAAATGTAGACATAAACAATTTTACTTTATAATCTATCTTGCATTTGTAAAAATATCTCCTAGCTTTTTATATTATCTTTTTCAGATCTAAATCTCTCTCGTTCGAATTGTCAAAACTGTAAACAATAATAGTTATTTATATTTAGTGTCAAGAGAGCCAACTCCAAATTGTCTTGGAGAGAGAGTCTCCATTTTGACATCACTGCATCAAGGATGATATGTCATTGGTCGTATGACGAATTTGTCGGAAGTAGCTATTGGCTACCGAGTAGAAAATTTCTAGAGTCTCTATCTAGTAATTCTAAGAATTTTCTATCTAGTAATATAAAAATATCAGTCTAATGCTAAAGTTGGCGACAATCTATATTTGCATTTGCACGAACTAAATGAATATGGATCGTGAACGTGTATTGTGAAAATATTTAATTCGACAAAAAATTATGATGATAGCAAATTAATATTATTACTGATAAACTTATTTAGACAATGTCAATCAATATATTATGCGCTGCATTTCGCAAAATTGCAGTGGGCAGAATAAGTGCGTATATGTGACAACTAAAATCCGCATAATTAAGCAATAACCTAAAATTGCTACACACACACACACATATATATATATATGATTTTTATAAATATGGGCAAAATAATATATATATATAATATTCACAATGTTTTTATTATTATTTTTCAGGTACTATTGCTACTGCAAGATGTTACTCAACAAAACAATCAAATTGTGATGTAAATGTAATATCTCGTTTAACATCCAATAGTCATGGCATACTGGATAATACTAAGCCCGATGATATCAAATTTATACCAGGAACGCTTAATATAGATTTTGGGATACGTACAAATGGAAATTTAATAAAAAATATTATTGAAATGCCTGTTACAAAAATTTCTCCATTGCAAGAGCCTATAAAGCGTTTACCCATTCGATATGATTTACCTATATTGGAAAAGTCTATAGATTTACCTACAAATGGAGAAATCTTTGAGAAACGTGCGGTACGTTTAATTGTGATCAGGCATAAGAAAATAAAGAAACATAAGCGAAGGAAGCTACGTAAGAAGATGCGGTTTATATGGGCAAAATTGAGACATAAGCGAAACGTAAAGAGAGAGAAAGCGTTTCAGGCAGAGCTAATTAATAAAATTATACAAGCACAAGCATTTGATGCTAGGGTGTACGTTAAAGAGAGACTAAATATTTTGAACAAGGAAAAAATACCAAGGACTTTCAGAGGCGAGATTTTACCTGCTGAGATGATAAAAAAATTTATAGATGAGAAAAAAGCAAAAAGAGAAGCAAAACTTAACAAACCTCGTTTAATTCTATAATTTATGTATAAATCAAGTAACAATAAATTTTATGCTAATTAATTTTGTGTCCTTTAAAATTTGTATTACCGATATTACATAAGACAAATCAGAGAATTTGAGGAGGCATAATTAAGAAAAATCATGGAAATAATTAAATCAGCAATAAATTCATTTTTTTTTCTTATAAAAGATAAGTCGTTTGTACAGTCATTCATTATTTAGAGCTTAACAACAATCACATTAAAGCATTTTATAGGTATATATAATAAATGATATTTATATACTTTCATTGATTAATATTAATATCGATTCTAAATTGTACATGATGGTGATCAGATTATACATTTGGTTACTTATGGTTTACAATAAATATATACTTAAAAAAATTTTTCGATCTGATTCCATAAAATAATGGCTCTCGGTGAGATATATACAACATGATCATGAATTAAAAATTGGCTTCTGATTTCTATAATTTTATGTTTGTCATAATAAGTAGCTGTCATTACATGCTATTCTTATATATGTATAACATGTAATAAAGCTACTTATATACATACAGTTTAATACTATAATGTAATTATGTAATAGCACCTTCTTTTTTCTTTGCGCATATTTTTATTAAGGCGTATTGAGTTTGTTTATTTTTTTATTTTTTTATATATATCTTCATAATTGAGAAAAATTTTGAAGATTATAGTTGAATTTATATATTTTTGCTAATTTATTTTAATAATATTTTATTATGTTTCTATAATTGATGTTACAAGAATGTAGTGTTTTTTATTAAGTATACATATATAGTTAATCAGTTTCATGCTTTGTGAACAAATATGTATCCTCTACAAAAATATATATTTTTTCTCTGGTAATTTGTTTAAATAATATTGTAGAATAATAAAATATGTCCATTTGTGTCTTATAATTGTCAATTGTCTAAAAAATATTTAATCTTATTTTTTTAAATATATATTTGTGTCAAAAAGCAAACGTCAGATTTTTTGAGTACTTTGCCCATTTCATATAACATCCTTAATAAAATAGATAAAATTTTTTTAGTTTTCATCTCATTTTCTTCGGCAGAACGGCTTCAATTAAACTTAATCGATACAAGCAAATGCGTTCTTCTCTCTTAACTAAGATAGATTCTTTTAAATAGTCGGACGCTAAAAATTATACGGTTAGAGTGGTCCTTTTTACGGTAATATCTGGCCTTTCTTAATTTCTAAAACTTTTGGTTTGTTACTTATTTTGCCGGTCGTCAAAGTATCACTTCTGCCAGAGAAATAATCCTCGATCTCTTGCAATGTTCTACCTTTAGTTTCCGGAAGACATATGTAGAAGTATATTGTGCCGAGTAAGGATATACAGCCGTAGAGAATGAACGTACCATGACGAGTAAGCGAATTGGCGAGAAACGGATAAGTTTTCACCACCATGAAGACAAATGAGTGCGCGCACATGGTGGTCAACCCGCCAATAATACCGCGTACTTGGACGGGATAAACTTCGCCGATCATCACCCACGGGATAACCAGGAAGCCCATGGTACAAGTGACGGTGTACGAGAATATACAAAAGACTGGGATCCATGTGGCGACGAGTGTAAGATCATTCTCGACACTGTAATTCTTAAACCACATGTATCCACCTAATCCTAGCATGGACAAGCCACAGCCAACAGAAGATATCATCGTAAGGGGTCTTCTGCCGCATCTTCTACACAAAATGCAAGCTACGATCGTGGAGATGAGTCTGACTATTCCCAATATGACCGCGGCCAAATATTTATTCAGGCTCGCTCCTGAGTCCTTGAAAATTTCGACGGCATAGAAAGTTATAACGTTGGTACCCGACCACTGATATATCAAAAAGTATAGAAACAACAGGGTGAACGGCTTCAGCGCGCTTGGTTTTATCAAGGCGCATACAATCTCCCGGAGTCCAGTGAGTCGTTTAATGTTATTCTTATTGGAGAACTCCACCAGCGATTCCATCTCCCGATTCACGTTGTAAGTACTGCCGCGAAACCTCTGCAACGCCTTTTCCGCTTGGTCCGGCTTGCTGCGCGATATGAGATAGGACGGAGTTTCTGGGAAAAAGAACATCAATAGCAACGCGGTTAGTGGCAAAATACCGCTGATTGCTGCGCAAACGTTCCACGTCACTATGCTTCCCAGAGCATATTCTATCAGCACCCCGGTGCTGACCCCGACGCTTGCGATTGCGGTCAACATCCCACGGAGATGTGGCTGCGTAACCTCGCTGGTGTAGACGCGCGCCGGCGCGCCCACCATACCCGATCCCAGACCGACGAAGAAACGACCGGCGTATATCATGCGTATGTCGGTCGCGAACGCGATCAACAGCCATCCGAGCAGAGCCGGGATCTCCGTGATGATGAGCGAACGTTTCCGGCCGAGCATATCCATCATGTAGCCGGATACCAAGCAGCCGATTGGCGTGCCGATGGAGGATATGCTAGCTGTAAAGGAAGAAAAAATAAATAGATATATATTTTCACATACAAATTACAATTTTTCTATAGCGAATAAAAAACATGTTAGATTGATTATCTCGTACGTACCGATCCACGATTCTTCCGTCGATCCTTCCTTGATGGGAATGATGCTGTCCGGCTCCTGGAGTTGTGGCAGGGCGATGGCGGAGAAGCCGAATGCCATGCCCGTGTTGATGGTGCCGAGCTGGGCCACCAGCGCGGCCAGGACTTGCCTGACGGCGCTTCCTCTGGGTGTTCGAACGTCCCCGTTAGGATCATTGTTCACATCCGTCTTCTCATTATCCAGCAGCGTGGGCGGTTGGATCTTCGGTTGCAGCACCGAGTCTACCAACGAGGTCTTTTCCAGATCTTGCGCGTCGCTATTCTTTCTGCAATAAAAGTGACGATTAGCGTTATACATAATTGCAACCGTGCAGTATTTATTTGCGATCGTGCGAACACGTAAAACGTTTTTTCGCGCACGGAAAGTTAATGACGAGCAAGAATTTTGTTTTCGCAGCTTATTTCCTACAATCGCGCACGCTCCGCATTTCTAATGAGACAAAGCAGAATTTCAAAGCGCAAAGATAGCGTTTGTGTTAATTGGTAATATAATATCGAAAACGTTTGATTATTTTAAAATTATGTAAAAGCAAGATTTATTGCCTGTATTAGTAAATATTTTATACAAATAAGATATGCCGAATGATAATAATGCGACAACGCTAGGCAGATAATTGTGTATATATTTAATATACATGCGTATTATTTATGTACAAACCGATAAAAATCGATTACTTAATACGAAATTCTTGCCGTTTCCGTTATGATCGTTTCGTTAAGATCATTCTATCAAGTATAAAGTTTGCAATCAAATTTTTTTCATCAGAAATATATCGCTCGCGAGAATGAGAGATGTAAACACAGATTTGCCGCTATTTATCGTGTGAAGATAACAATTATTTTTGTTCATCGCAGATAACGCGACAAATGTGAAACATATATAACGCAGAAATTTTTCCACATTAAACATCGCCAGATAAAAACCGGATTCGTCTGTCAATAATGACAATTGCAACAAGTCTAAATACTTGAGCGTAAAGTTCGTAGCAGTCGAGCACATCTCGCCGATCACAAATTTGGCTCGGAGAGAGATTTGATGTTGCTAAAATTAGAACCAACCTATATATATATATATATTTATATAAATGTTTGACAGCTTGTCGAAGTATCGCCTTAGGTATAGAAACGATATCGCATAGGTATCTAGAAAAGAAGGGAATATTGAAAATTGCTAATAAGAGAGAGAGAGAGAAAGTGTGAGATGGGGACATGGATTGATTAATAACGAACGCGATACTTTGTTTCAGAAAAAGAAAATTTTTTTTTATCATGGACTAGTCTCCGATATATATCTACGGAATATCATGTATATTAGGTATTTTAAGACACTTTGTATATCAGGAACGTTGCACAGTGGCTTATTGGTAGGATAATATTTACTTTACGAGAATTACGAAACAGAACCTTCACGAGTGAAGGAACGATCGATTAGGTTTTTCGAAGGTTGCGAAGTTATGCGTACGGGATGACATAATCGTCGAGTACCATGACCTTTAGGAATATGGGAAAACCTGTTATATAAAGAAATGATTCGGCATGTACACTTGTATTAACCTACGACAAAACAAAGACGCCTGTTGTTTTTCGTAGAATTCTGCTATAATTATGCGACCGCGACTCTCGAATGGAAGACTAACGATAAGAAAAACAAAAAAAAAAGCTTGTTATAAAAAAGAGCTGCAATCGTTTATATAAATTGACACGAGTATATGAAAATATGAAGGCCTTATGCAAATTTGTGATAATAGAGATATGTCCGCTTCTCTCTCGCGCGCGTTTTTGTTTACCTTTTCATCGAGAACGACGAAACCGCGAGTAACAGTTTTCTTGACGTGTGCAGCTTGTTACACATCGAGGAAGTGATTTACGTATACCGGCAATTTTTATATTTACCGCAATTATAGAAAATATTAAGCGGTCGGTGAACCATTTATCATATTGCACAATCCACCTTCAGACTTTTCCCTCGGTATCTTTACTCACACCTGCATCGACAATTACCACTGTCTTCGTGAAGATTACTGATAGCGCATTAATTTATCATTTGTAAATATATATAAACGAATTAATTAATGATGTTTATATACTTGCACATTTATGTATTAATCATTGTTGTTTATTATTATATATCGAATGCGCGAATTAATTAATCAACTAAATTTACCGATCATAAGACGACATCGATCGAATCACTCTAACGTAAGAGAAAAGCTACGTATTGATCGACGGTCAGAATATGCATGTTAGATTCAACACGTGTTTCGCAATCATGAATCCAATTGAAAGTGAAATTTACATGCGCGCGCGAGTGTTATTTTCATAGATCTGCGACCTCCAATCATTTTATCGTGACATACGTTCACGACATCCATTCACTTTGCTCCGAAATCCTACAATTGTATGCAAATTGATAGCATTATCGGAATTTCCTAAACAACAGCGATAGTTTTTAATGTCTGACTCTTTAACAAAGAGAGAGAAGTGGACATTTTTACAAAAACTCGTGTTTACAGTAAATTCTTTTCTGCATTATAGTTCGTACCAAAAAGCTAAAGACGATAATCTTTCCGGTTAAAATTATTGGCAATGTAACTATTGAGTTTTACGATCTTCCAAGTCCATCTGCCAAATTACGGAAGGAGAGGACGGTTTTCTAAATGCCACGCCAGAGTGACGCTTGTGAACAAAGAGGCATCGCTGCTGTTCTTGACAGACAAAGCGGTTCCAAGAGAGCGTATTCACGACGTATGCTGGCTATTTTTTCTTACACCTTGACTTTGTAACATATCGCAAGGCCGTACAAACGCAATCGGAGGACACTTTAAGGGGCTCGTCCGTTCGCGTACAGAATTAGAACGCACGATTTCGCAAGAAGGATTTTCCATCGGACGCTGGTCCACGCAACCACCTCCTCATCGCGTCAACGGAATTTTCCGCAACAAAATCTTAAACGCATTTATGTACTCGCGGACGCGAAGTGACACCCAGAGATAGCCTTCACCCGTAGATTCGCTACAAAATGAAAACACCGAATATAAAATTCAATTCTCTGGCTGAATCATCGCGAATCATGAGATTTATTACGACAGATTCTTTAAAGTCGATTCTTTTTTTAGCGAATATATCAAGATACATATCGCTAATTTTCAAATAAACTTTTGGAAAAGAAGACACTTTTCGCATACTAAACGTCGGGAAGCCGAATAGATGATAAAACTATATTTTATATTTAATTTCAAGTGGAGTCTAGTTTAACAGAATTTTTATTTGATGCTAAATTATAAAGGTACAGGGTGCGAAAAATAACGCCTTTTTTTTTTTTTTTAAGAAATATTGACTCTAAATTGGCTCTGAAGAATCTGTTATTAAAAAAATATCCAATGATTTTTTAAGATACTCTGCATAGAATATTTCATATAAAAGCTGCGCGCGAGAATTGAATCACGGCTTTGTGGTTCTGAGTAATCGAGGAAACGCGATTACTCTTTATCATGCTACGTACAGATATCGGTCGTTCGTATGAATGCGTAGGTTCGAAAGATTTTTTTAATTCTCTTGCTAAGCGGCATGCACATAAACATCAATCTTTTGATTTAAACATGAAATACAATATTAACAATAGCAGTTCAAAGTTCATATTAAAAAAAAAAAATGCTCGTCGAATTTTATCATGTGAGAGAAATAATATATAATTATTGAGATAAAATAAGAAAGCAATAATTTTTTTCGCAACATCTCTATTTTCACGGAGAAAAAAAATGATTTAAAAATTGACTATTAAATTATTTAAGTCTTTGAAAAGAATAGAGAGAGAAAAAATCAAATCGGGTACGATATAAACAAGATGAGAATGAGGTTCGATCAGCTGATTCTAGTTCCGTTCTCAGATGCCTAATCTACAAATTTTAGCGTAATAAAATCTAATAATTTACAAGATGATGCCAAGCGGATTCGCAGATTCCTGGCAACAATACAACGGAATCATACGCGATCACACATATATATAAACAATACATTTCTCGCAGATATCACGCCTGATCGAACAAACGACGAACGCGTCCCTGATATTAATAGTCTAATTACATCACGCCGCTTCAATGAAGATAAATATGAGAGAGCAGATAGCGACGGCGGTGGCTGTAAATCGTCTCGAAAAGCAATAGTAATATTATAATGCGTTACACGATATTTGCACATTGCATCGAGATGCAGCAACGATCAATCGGGGAGTCACGCTCTCCGATCGTTCAGTAAATATCAACAAGTCTATATAATCGCGCACAAATAATTCGCATTTTTTTGCGAGTGCCAATAATTCACGGTTCGCGCATCGCGATAATGTTCTAAAATCATCCAGATCGTCATCGTCGCTCTGTGTTCGCTAGCTCGAAGTTCAATGCTGGTCCGTAGTACAGTGTGGATTGCGTCATCGTTTAAAGATAATATTGCCGCAAAAAATTCTCGGGCCACTTAATGTTCAGGGAGAGGTAGTGAGATCTTTGATCTCGCCCCAGTAATATTCTCTCTATCCACTTTGATCTTATTTTTCTAGAGATACTAAAAAATACGAACTCTCTCAAAGCTTTCTTTAATCCATGCGATATTAATAACAACGTATGTATTTCTTCGTTCTTACAAGAGACACCGAGTCACGCATCTGCGTGTACCAGCGACATGAAATTTATTATTATCGTCTAAATATCGTATCATTATTAATTTACGGTCACGAAGAAGGAGTGTCGTTCTTGACGAGAACCTGCATTACCGTCGTTTAAATGTGATACGAAATGGAAAGCGTCATTGTCCGTCATCATCGTTCATCGGAACCTACGTTTTTCCGCTTCATTTCCTGTATTATCTCGATTCCGCCGTCAATGAACGAATTTTCTCACAAGGCAGATATAACAAAAACGCACTATGCAACTTTTACGCGACCGCCTTATCTTCCTAAATTTAAAAATATTTCATATCGCTCATCTTCGACGCATTGCGATTGTGTATTAATTTATTGCAATTACGCTATTCGAATAAAAAACAAATTAATGGACGCGTTTTTTAAATAATATACTAATGAAGTTGAAATATTATAAATAAATAGTTGAGTTATCAATTCGAGAAAATTAATGATCCGATTATGTAATATTATTCTAATTTATAATATTACGATTAATTGCGTATTCTGAAGCTATATATAGATAAGTAAATATATATGGATAAAATGATTATCGATTACGTAAATATTTCTGAAATACGTGATACTGAATTCAAATCTTTCATAATTTTGTAATAATGTATAGCTTATGAAGAGGAGTAGACGGGTTCATATCATTAAAAGTCAATTAACGTATTATAATAGCTCGATGACGACAGTACCGTAATTACGGTATCGGTAATACATCACAACGAATAGATCGACCGCACTTGTCTCATACAATATTGGTATAACATTAATAGATAAATTGCATCAGCACACGTCATACAGGCATCAATGTTTTATCAGCTATTCATAATATCCGCTGCACTTGGCGGCTAACAAATTTATCAAATGTCAAAAAGAAAAGAAAATTTTTTCTCTCTGTTCGCTGAGAAAATTGCTAAATATATGTATCTCTCTCGGCGGGGCTTTGTCGCATACATCATAAAACGCGTCCGACGACGTGACAAAAGCAGCGACAAAATGACACAACTTTTTTTATATTCGATCATAGTCCACGGGTGCCAGGTTCCATTTCGAAGAGCATAAAATAAAACCACGATAACATCGAACACGGTTTTCATATTAAATAGATTAAAAATTAGAAAAAATGTTTTCATTTAGAGTCGAGTTAAAACAATATTATCTCGTTAAAAAAAATTCAACTTTTATCAATTACGCTTTGTATCGATCGATGAATCTTCAGCAGTTACAATATAAATCTATCTCGATTCGTTCACGGTTGATATTCGAGCAGCTTTAAAACTTATGCTTGTAAAATTTAAACGCGGCCTCCGATAGGTCCTTCAGAGATTCGTTAATCACGCATTTTACTGGTCTCGACGAGAAGACGGGAGATACGATTTCGGAGCAAGGTGAGAATTATAAAATGCTATGGCGCGTGATATTCCGATCGTTGTAAACAGAGCTCTGGATATACATAGAATCACTTGTTGATCAGGCGTATATATTCGCTACGTTGACAACTCTCGATTTTATTCCGGTTCTCACCTCTGTTCAAAGTCACGTTTGACCAATTACTCGGTTGCGATTCTATTCAAATACAGTATTGAATGAAACAAAGATATGTATGCAATATTTTTCTACTAGGAAAAAAAAATTGTTTATTGCTCTTGAAATTAAAGTAGAAATTTCATATAAAAATTTATGAATTTTTAATATAGCGGAAAACGTAATAATGATGTAACGATTGAATTTATGTGAATGCTTATCACATATTTAAACGATATCGCAAAAATGTACTGTTCCAATTTCTACTATGAATATTCGCTCGATCTACGTGTTTACAAATGCCATGTGCTGCCGTGAAACGTGCGATTACACAGGAGAGAGAAATAGAGAGAGAAAAAGAGAGAGCGAGCGAGCGAAATAAACAGTCCCGTTTTTTTTTAGCTCTACCACGCTATATCTTTTCTATATTTAAAATGGAATATTACAAGAGGCACAGAGGAGACAACGAGAATTCAGAAAAATAGAAGATTCGAAAAGAATAGCTGAAAAAAATGACAGAAAAGTGATGTGTTTACGTCTACTCACTCTGCCATGTCGAATGTCGTCATGGGGGAATCGGTCTCCTCTTCAATAAATTACACGATATACCGGCGTATCGTGTATGTAACGTATAAGTATATATCACAATTCGCTGATCACAATGTTGTATCACTGTAAGATTGCCGGCTCATCGCCGAGCTTCTCTCCTCGCCCCTTCCTTCGCACCCTCACGGATTCTGCTTTCCAGACACGAGGGCTCGTATAAAAGCGGCCACAATTTTCTCTATTCGAGGATTCTCTAAAATCCCCGAATACTTTACTCTCAGAGACTGGCCAGAAGGCGTCCAATCGTACGTCCAATCTCGTAAAAGCCTACGAAGGTCTTTCTCCACGGGCGATACATCTGCGCGGATCCTCTCGTTTTTTGCTCTCGTATTCGTCGATATACCCTCGATAGAGAATCTCTCTTCTTTTCCCTTATCGTGTTCACGATGAATATTGTCACGTGTACTAAGGCCAAGGTCGAACGGTCGATATCAAGATACGTTATTTACATCACGCCTCGCTCGAAGCGACTGACGGCTACAAGTTACGCGAAAGCTTTATATGCGGTGCGAATTCGCCTCGTGGGGGAGAAAAGAAGGGAGAGAAAAAGCTTTGACAGCAAAGCGCATGCGGACGGATAAGAAGAACGCACGAATTTCGTTCAACGGAAGAAGGTTAAGATCATGACATGTAAAAAAAAAAACGGAAGCGCCAAACAATCGATCAAACACGGGAATTCGCGAGGAACCGATACGATTGGTCGTTTCGCTTTTCGCTGAACTTTCCTTTTTGTTATTCATTATCGCGAAAAATTTATCTTTTACTTCCCATTATTATTAATGATACCGATATCTCTGCGGAATAAATAATACGATAATAGCAATATGAATTATGCAAAACAAAAGAAAATTAGAGATATATTAAGGAAAGTTTATATAAAGTTTTCAACTTTAAAAGTAAAATATATAAATTTAAATGTCATAAATATATCACGGATTTTCTTCTTTTAAAGATGATTTTCTAATCGAAGAAATGCTCTCGATAAAGCACATAATAATGTGGCGATAACAGTGATAAAATAACGAAAGATAATCTATCAAACTATCGCAACAATGTTACCAATCGACGCGCCGTCATAAAGGTCGACGCATTTTTTTTTTTTTTTCTTCAAATGTTTAGACATTTATATGATTAATGGAATGAGGTGTAATCTCTATCTCGAGTATCGATAAAAAGCTTCGGCCACAAACGATCGGTCATCTCTTTATCTGAGAAAAATAGTGCCGTGGCGGTGGCCGGGCGTGAAATCGTCACGATTGTTGTTCGTGAAACATTACTTCGTATTTATGTAAAATGCGAGATAAAACCAGCCTTTTGAAAAGAACTTCGCAGATCACATCGCAAAGTAGTCTCTTCTCCGTTGCCGAGCAGAGGTAACAAAAAAAGAAAAAAAAAGAAAATATTTTCCGCGCGCATGGAATCGCGTATATTATTTACGAAATCACAATATTTACCATATCTATCATGCATCTATCATGTATGTGTTATCAGTGAAGAATTTTACGGAATATTCATAAGGCAAACGAAAAAATACGTTAAGAAAAAAAAAGGATTAAAGATAGATATTGGACTGTGTTCTGCCAATGAAAACGCGCAAATGAAAATTTATATTTTACGACCAGTCTCTCTATATAAAAATGTAAATCTGAACGTGATAAAAAGCAATGACGATGTAAGCACTTATAAATATACGCGATAAGGTCGAATGAAAGATAATAATAACGGTCGAAATGATTTAACATTTATGTAACACTCAGTCTTTTTCTATTTTTACGGTATCATGTGTGATAGAAAGCGAGATGGTTTCATTATTTCAGAGCTTAGTTGAAAAATATACATATAAATCAAACAAATAAAAGAAGAGAGAGATCAGCTGTGCATGGAAGGTTTTTTAACCATTTGGATTAAATATAGATGGGCTATATAATTAAATTGAATCTTTTATGTATATATTTTTTCGAAAGATAGCATTATTTTTAATATATATGCGCTATTATACCATCGAAGAATCGAGTATAAATATTAAATAAACATTTAAAAGTGGGCTGGTTCGGTTTCTAGTTGCGTTTGCCTGATTATGCCGGCACTATCAGTCAATATTGATGCATCCGACGGTCACATTATAAATTCGAGCATGACGAATCGCACGTTCACGGTAAATGTAATCTGTGGACACAGGCGAGATAACCTCGGCCTGGGAGTACTTGGTCACGCGGATTAACACAAACATCGTAATCGTCGCATGTCTATATGTATATGACACGATTAGACGAACGTCATATGCGAGATTCTTTTAATAAAATTACAAACATGCAGAAATGTGACGTATTTTTATATATATATTAAGTAGCACTTCATGACTTAATGTGTTTTTGTTAGAAAACGAGACACATGATTTGTATGTCTAATTTTTAATCGGGTTGCAAGCACGTAAATCATCCCCTCGAGCAAACGGGATTGAAATCTTACGAACGATTATTCGATTTCTCCTAAAGGCGAAAAAAAACATGAAAAATTCGCTATTTATTCCTGTGACGAGCAATTTCACTTTTGACATTTCCGTTTCTAACGGAATAACGTAATTGGAAAAAAACTGTTGTAATATGCATATATAAAAATGCACATAAAATTAAAGTCTCAGATAAGAAATGTTTGAAAGAACGAAGACCGTAAGGAAAGTTAATGATTTGCGGAGTTGCCGATCGCGAGATTCTGCAGAACGATCCCGTATATCGAAAGCCATCGTTATCTTATCCGAATCGTAAAGCGTGTCAGGGCATCACGCGCCAGTTCCATTTCAAATCAACAACGATATCAGAATGACGAAATAACGATAACAAAAAGAACGGGTAAGAAGCAGCGACATTAGAGTACTCACTCAGACGGTGGCGGCGACGATACGTCTGGCTCGTTGATGCTAAACGTCTCGTAATTCCTATTCCTGAACATGCTGGCGAATGACTGAACACGTATGTGGCCAGTTGTGGTCGATTAAATTTATAATGTTCCCAATGGTTTATCGGGCAAACCGTGGTCACGAGCTTGCCACTATCAATCCAAGCAGTCATGTGCTTCTTCATCTTGTTTTCTTTAATTCCACTTATTTTCATGCCAATATTCACGTTCGTTGCACTCTGTTAAGGCAAAAAACAGACCGCATGTCGCGTTCGCGCGAAGAAGAAGCGAATTGGTATCGTTTACTTACTAAAAATTGGAAAGATTTCTAGCAAAAGTGCGTTATCTCTAACGATAAATGCAAATACATGAATATATTTATTGTGACTATTTTTTTAAAACTTTCGCAAAATTTAAAAACAGTTTTGTTAAAATAAATCTATTCGCTCCAACAGATGCAACAGAATATTTAAAAAAAAAGTGTTCGAAATATATGTGAAAATAAAATCGGGACAGTTTGAGATATTTCTAAATGCAAATCTACCGCGGAAATATACGGTTATGTTTGTATGCATGTGATTATAAAATATTGTATAACAAATAAACATATTATAATTAGAAAGAGAGAGAGAGAGAGAAATGTAAATATAAATGATTTATTGTTATTTACATGAGCGTCCGTGGACATTTTGTAACGTCCGCACTCTTATCGCCGGTATAAGTGATTACAGACTCCATGTGACTGTCGGCGATAGATTAAGATATATTACGCAAGTCGTACTTCGTATGCGGTTCATTTGGCAAACGCGTTTAAGGTGCCATTTAGTCTCTGTAAAATTTTCGATCTAATCTTCGAAAAAATCTCGTCTTCATAAAAACAAATTCAAATTCAGTTCTCTATATGATTTTTTCAAGATATTGTCTTCTATAATTATTAACGCACATATACACAATTAAATTTTTCAGGCATACTGTTCTCAGGTATAGGGATTGCAATTTATTCTCAAACAATTTAAGATAATCCTGTGCTGAAAAGATAAGTACAATTAAATAATTGTTAATAATTGAAGAAAAATTATAGATTGAAGCTATTTTCGGAACAGTAATATTAATATTTAAATGTATATCATAAACTTCAATTCTGCTAATTTAATTGCAAATATGCCATACTTTGTGTTGCTTTTCGATAAATATGGCTTATATAAAGTTTAATTATAATTTTATCATTAAAGGTAAAACTAGACATCTGGGAACAAAATGCAAATCCGCGGATGTAAAAGTATATTTCGTGCATGAAAAAATAATTCTGAAACTGTCACGGATTTAGCCGAGCAATTTAATTACTTCGAGAAAAATCGATTCTTCGAAGAGCAAGAAGATAAGAGGGGGAACCCCTTTATAGCAATGTCGATTGGCATCGTGAGAAAGACGGTAATTAATCAATTGAGGAGCTTGTTACGATTGTCGCGTGCTGCAATGAGTTAAATTAGTATCTGTATATATATCTTATACCTCTCGAAAAAATGTTATTATATGTTACCGCGTTATGGAAATATATAATATATTTACTCTATATATAAAAACATATTTTTTTATCAAAGAAAAATATCTAAAAATATTTTGTTTATTTAAAAAATCACATAAGAATAAAACGTGTGTATTTATTGCTATTTCTATATAAAAAATAATTATATTTCTTATCTAGATAATTTGTTCAAGTACGTTTTATAGTGCATTATTACCCAGACAGCACAAAACGTCCTCAGGATCATCCTGAATATGTCCAGGATGGTTCAGGATATTTGTAGGATGTTTTAAGATATTATTATAAATATATTTTATGAAAATTTAATATGCATACATGATTACTTTCGGTTATGTAGGCTATTTAATATAATTTAGAAATTTTAAGTATTGTAATAAGTATTAATGTCCTATAAATGTCCCCTGGATAACCCCTGGATGTCTGTAGGATATCTGCCCTGTCTATTATATTGAATGTCCTTTGGATTTCCAGAGGACATATACATGTGCAATTAATTGTTAACATTAATTTCGTTTAATATTAATAATTGAATTTGATGCGCACATTTTCATATATTCAAAATTATTATTTATTTAATATTTCATGAGAAATGTTACTATGCGCAACATTCCAAAAACTTTACAAAAAATAGTATTCAACCGCTAGTTCGTTTGTTTACCGCTATGCGACGCGCGAACTCGTATTTGAGATTTGGTCATGAGAATTATATAAAGCTTGCAAAGAGCAACTAACAGGAAATTAAAAATATAATTATTTTTTATCAGTTCAATTTTTCTGATGCAATCCCAACATAGGGAATTCAGATATTGGATTGTTTTGAAAATATTACACGACTCAAACCCGGAAGTCAAACCTAAAATATTCATGTACAGCACGAAAACGTCAAATTTTAAAGAACGTGAACTATTTTTAGTATTAGATTTTTAGTATTGGTAGTAAATAACAGAACGCAATCTTAATTTATATTTAAATTTTAGAATTTGTTCCTTTTAACGTATGAAAAATATCCCTAACATATCCTATAGAAATCCTTAAGATGTTCCACAGGATCTCCCTGGAT